AAGGTAGCCCTGTGTTGCTATAAGCCCTGTGTTGTTCCTTTTTAGAACTGCTTTTGCTGTATTCCACAAATTTTGGCATGTCGTATTTTCATTTTCATTTGTCTCCAGGTATGTTTTGATTTCTCCTTTTATTTCTTCATTGACCCGATCATTGTTCAGTGATATTTTGCTTAATCTCCACATATTTGTGGCTTTTCCAATTTTCCTCCTATATTTGATTTCTAGTTTCATACAGTTGTAGTCAGAAAAGATGCTTGGTATTATTTCAATCTTCTTAAATTCATTGAGTCTTGTTTTGTGGCCTAATATGTGATCTATCCTGGAGAATGTTCCATGTGCATTTGAAAAGAATGTGTATTCTGCGGTTTTTGGTTGGAATATTCTGTATATATCTACTAAGTTCATCTGATCTAATGCATCATGTAAGGCCAGTGTTTCCTTATTGATCTTCCACTTGGATGATCTACACGTTGGTGTAAGTGGAATATTAAAGTCCTCTGCTATTATTGTGTCACTATTTGTCCTCTTTGTCTTTTAATAATTGCTTTATATATTTAGGTGCTCCTAGCTTGGGTGCATAGATATTTACAAGAATTATATCCTCTTCTTGGATTGTTCCCTTTATCATTATGTAGTGCCCTTCTTTGTCTCTTGTTACAGTTTTTGCTTGAAAGTCTATTTTGTCTGGGGTAAGTATTGCTACCCCAGCTTTCTTTTCATTGCCATTTTCTTGGAGTATCTTTTTCCATCCCTTTACTCTCAGTTTGTGTGTGTCCTTAGGTCGAAGTGTGTCTCTTGTCTCCAGCATATGCATGGGTTTTATTTTTTTTATCTAATTGGCTACCCTGTGCTTTTTGATTGAAGCATTTAGTCCATTGACATTTAAAGTAGCTGTTGATAAGAATGTACTTATTGCCATTTTGTTACATTTTTCTGGGTGTAACAGTAGTTCTTCTCTGTTCCTTTCTTCTCTTGCTCTCTTCCCTTGTGCTTTGTTGGCTTTCTTTAGTATCATCCTTTCTCTTAATTTTTTGTGTATTCATTAGAGGTTTCTGGTTTGTGATTACCATGAGGTTCATATATAATAAACTGCATATATAGAAAACTATATTAAGTTGATGATCTCTTAAGTTTGACCTCTTGCTAAAAACTCTATTCTTTTGATCCCTTCCTCCCACACTTTATGTGTTTGATATCATATTTAACCTCTGTTTGTGCTTGTGTATCCATTCCACTCCTGTCATAGAAATAGATAATTTTAGTACTTTTGTCTTTTGACCTTCATATTAGCTTCATAGGTAGTTGATCTGCTGCCTTTACTGTATATTTCCCTGTCAGTGATTTTATTGGTTGGGGGGGTGGGGGAGTTGGGTCATTTTCTTACTCCCATATGTGGTCTTTTCTTTTCCACTTAAGTTCCTTTAGCATTTCTTGTAAGGCTCGTTTATTGGTGATGAACTCCTTTAGTTTTTGCTCGTTTGGAAAACTCTATCTCTCCTTCAATTCTGAATGATAACCTTGCCAGACAGAGTATTCTTGGATGTAGGGTTTTTCCTTTCAGCACTTTAAATATATCATGTTATTCCCTTCTAGCTTGTAAGGTTTCAGCTGAGAAGTTAGCTGATAGCCTTATGGCGTTTCCTTTGTATGTAACTTGTTGCCTTCTCTTTTGTAGCTTTTAGGATTCTCTCTTTATCTTTAATTTTTGACATTTTAATTATAATGTGTCTTGGTGTGGGCCTCTTTTGAGTTTATCTTGTTTGGTGCCGTCTGTGCTTCCTGTACTTGGTTGTCTGTTTCCCTCCTTAGGTTAGGAAAGTTTCAGCTATTATTTCTTTGAATAGATTCTCTGCCCCTTTGCCTCTCTCTTCTCCTTCTGGGACATCTATAATATGGATGTTAGTGCACTTGATATTGTCCCAGAGTTCCCTTAGACTGTCCTCATTCTTTTTAATTCTTTTTCCTTTTATCTGTTCAGCTTGGGTGGTTTCCTCTAGTCTTTCATCCAGCTCACTGATCCATTCTTCTATATCATCTACTCTGCTATTGATTCCCTCTAGTGAGTTTTTCATTTCCGGTATTGTATTCTTCATTTCTGATTGGTTCTTTTTTATATTTTCCAATTCTTTGTTGACGTTCTCACTGAATTCATCCATTCTTCTCCCAAGATCAGTGAACATCCTTACAAATATTAGTTTGTATTCTTTATCAGGTAGATTGTTTATCTCTGCTTCATTTCATTCCTTTTCTGAGGATTTATCCTGTTCCTTTATTTGCAACATATTCCTTTGTCTCCTCATTTTGCTTCTTTCTCTGTGCTTATATCTACATATTAGGTAGGTCAACTATGTCTCCCAATCTTAGGGAGGTGGCCTTATGTAAGAGATGCCTTATGAGGCCCAGCAGAGTGCTTCCCTCTCATCACCAGGTCCAAATGTTCCAGGAGTGTCCCCTGTGTGGGCTACATGTGTCCTTCTGTTGTGGCAGGGTTGCTCTTGCTGCAGGTGCACAAGGAGGCTAGGCTATCCCCCTGGCCTGCTGGTTGTAATACTCAGCTGTGTGTGGCTGCTGTGGTCCCTTCAGTCACTTTATTGGGTGAGGAGGAGCCCCAGCACAGTTGGCTACAAGGTCTAATAGCATACTCCTGTTGTAGTTTTTCTATTAAATGAGTAGGCCCCCAGCATGCCTGGTTGCTAGACTCAGGGGCTTACAATTGCTGTAGGCCTCTGGCCTGCAAGGCTGTTGTCAGCTCTCTCAGTAGCGAAACTGGGTGGGGCATACCCTAGGCATGGCAGCACACAATTTTTTTAGGTTTTGGGAGGTGGGGCTGATCTCCTATGTGGCTCTTTGAGAAACACAAGTCCACTGCAGCTGACAGAGGCTTATTATCTTTACAAACATCTCTAATACTAGAAAATTCTTCCTGCATAGAGTCCAGGAGTTCTGTTCTATTCATGGGTATGCGTTCTGTTTGAGCAATATAGAGTAAGTATACTTGTCCTTGCTGCAAATCCTCCCTTTCCAGAAAAAAAGGTCTTTTGAATAAACCATTCTTCTCCCTCCTTTCCTCACATTGCACTGGTTACCTGCTTTTGTTGGTGCGTTCTCTAGCACATCAGCAGAGAGAGAGCTGTGTGGCAGTTTCCCTTGTGATAACAGAGTCTTGGTGATGGCAGCACATTCCTGGATCTCTGGTTTTGTATCTGCTGCTCTTGGCACAGTATTGGGTGCATAACAGAATCCACTATTAGGCACTAAATTGAATTAGCTCTCTGTGCTCTGTTTCACTTCTGTTTGCTAAATCTATTATCCATTATTTAAGTAAAACTTTCTTCCTTGTTATCCTCATTAGTAAATGAGAATATCTGGAGAAATGGTAAAAGGACAAAATAGCTTCAAGAATTAAATATCTATTACCTGCTGGACTATTATATTGGGTACTTTATTGTATTGAGTACCTACCTTTTATATTGGGTACTTTATTTAGTAATTTAATACATTTCTCCAAAGTCTTTTTGATGTGGAGATTATTCTCCCATCTTACACAAAGAAAGGGAGGTTTTAGATTGTAAGGAACTTGTCTGAGGCCATACAGCAGGTTAATAGCATTAGGAATTAGTAGGAATTAGAAGTCCTCCACCCTCTTCTCATCCTGCTTCTTCAGCTTAGATTGAGTGCCTGTGTAATATGCACCCACAGCAGGGGCCTTTTACCATCCTGCACCCGTGACATCGTATGTGATGCTTGCTTACTGTCCTTCTTCTCTGCCCAGCAAGACACAAGAACCATGTCTAATCTGGCTCACATTTGTATCTGCAGTGTCTGACATACAATAAGAGTGTAATAAATATTCATTGAATAAATAGAGGAGAATCTCAATGACTACGTTTTAAATTCTATACCAAAAGAACTCTGAAAATTCTCATGTATTATCTATTAAGTTGTCATCATCTTTAATTTCAGACATTGAAACACTAAAAATCTTAAAAGTTTAGAGAATGGTCAGGATAATTGGGCTGTGATCCCATGACTAACCTGCATTTCCTGGCTTCCCAGTTCCTACCACTCTCCTCTCCTTAGACATCAGTGCCAAGCACTTACAGCCCCAACATAATGGCAGTTTGGGCACAGAATGGAGGGACGAAAGTGCCACTGTCACCAATAGTTTGGGCACCCCTTCCTCTCTCTGAGCAACAGATTTTGTAAGGCACACAACGTGGCCATACCTAGAAGGCAGTTTTACAGTGGCTAAGGATATTTTTCTAGAATTAGAGGACTCACATTCAAACCTTGGTTCTATTACTAGTCATGTGACCCTGAACAGAGTAGTTTATCTTCTCAAACCTCAGGTTCCCTGTTTGTAAAATGGGAATAAAAATGGTGCCTACAGAGCCAGCCCAGTGGTGTAGTGGCTAAGTTTGTGCACTCTGCTTTGGCAGCCCAGGGTTCACCAGTTTGGATCCTGGGCATGGACCCAGCACCACTCATCAAGTTATGCTGTGGTGGTATCCCACATAAAAGAACCAGAAGGACTTACAACTAGGATATATAACTATGTACTGGGGCTTTGGGGAGAAAAAACAAGAGAGAGAAAGATTGGCAATAGATCTTAGCACAGGGCCAATCTTCCTCACCAAAAAAAAAAATAATAGTAATAATGATGCGTACTTCAAAGAATTGTTAGGATTATATGAGATAATACATGAAAAGTATACAGGACAATATTTGGTACATCGAAAACATTCTATAAATGCTAGCTGGTAGTAGTAGAGAAAGTAGTAGCAACAGCAGCAATGCTGCATGCCCTCAAACCCCCATTTCCTTCCCAGTAGCAACAAGAACAGAATCTGGTAGGATTCTGCCCACACAGTTACTATTATAGGGTCCTGCCTTCCATGGAGTAGGGTAGATTTTGCTGGTGAGCAAACCCTGCTGAATGAATGAATCTTGATTACTTAATTTTGTTATCAAATTGACACACGACATCAGTCTTTGAGAAATAACTTTACAATTTTGTGTTTATTGCTTGCTGCAACAACATCATTTCAAGTAAAGGTTACAGAAGAATCTTTTTACTGTAGTCTTCTCAGAAAATGAAATTCACCACAGGACAGACAGGAAGCAGGTAAGTTGGTCTTTGTTTTCTCTGCAACCTAGGAAGAAAAAATAGTATCTTATGCAGCAAAGATTATGAAATGTTACAATATGGGTGATGGAAAGTCATGTACATAAAAAATTGTTAGCAGTAACTACGGTCTCTTGTAGGTCCAAACACCCTTTCTGTGGGATTCCGGGTCTCTCTTCTCAGACGTGGTACGTCATTGCTCTATCTACACAACATGTTGTTCCTAACATTTCTGAATGTCTTACATCAACTGCAGGGGAGAGGGCATCCTTTGTATGTCTTTCTGAAATCACAGACATCTCACTTTTCATTTATGGAAATGCTGCAGAAGAGCCTTAGAGCAGATTGACTGAGGCCTGTCTGCCAATCCCAACCCCCTCCTCTCTGTCAACATTCAGAGATGCGATTGCTTTTCCTTTCTGGTCCAGACAGCTGAACACGCAAGCAGAAAGGCAGAGCAGTGGGTGCCTTTTAGCTGGTCAGAAAATTTCTTGAACAGTCAGAGACGTGTTAGCACAAATGCAGCAGAGCCACCCCATAAGGACGGATTGATACCCTGAGAAACTTCACAGGACCCACATTAGGGTCTATGAGGAACAAGCCATGTGGGATGAACCAGAAACAGACATTGAAGCAAGAGGGGGGAAAAGCCAGGTGGCCAAACAAGCTACAAAGCCATCCGGCATTTGATTGAAAGAGAAGGGATTACCTTTGATGGTATTTACTTGATGTCTCTCAAGCAGCTTGACTTTTGGCTGCCAATTTTGGACCCTGAGAGGGAAAAAAAGAACAAAAAACACTTAGGGAGAAAAATTTAAGATATTGTTATTTAAATTTAGAGCAGCATGAATTCTTTTTTTTTTTTTTTTTTTTTTTTTGGTGAGAAAGATTGGCTCTGGGCTAACATCTGTTGCCAATTTTCCTCTTTTGGCTTGAGGAAGATTGTCACTGAGCTAACATCTGTGCCAATCTTCCTCTATTTTATGTAGAAGGTCGCCACAGTGTGGCCTGATGAACAGTGCTAGGTCCCCGCCTGGGATCCGGACATATGAACCCTGGGCTGCTGAAGAGGAGTGCGTGAACTTAAGCACTATGTCACTGGGCTGGTCCCTGCCTACATTTTTTAAAGAAAAATTAAACCATTCTCATATTGTTCGAGGAGACAGAAAACACTCTTCAGGTGCTTATGGGAACAGACACCTCAATCCTTTTATGAACTGACAGTGAGTTCATCCTTCCCTTTATGTGACCTCAATGTAAACACTCAGTCAGATAAATGCTAGATATTGATTAATACCCTAGAATTCAATTAAGCATGTTTTTTAAAACTAATAATTTGTACTAAAAGAAGAATTCTCACAGAATGAGCTCTCACTCGGAAAAATAGAGGGCTCTCAGCCAAAATGAAAGCTGTGCGCATGTGTGTCCGTGAGCCTGCATAAAGTATGTGAGTGTGCGTAAAGTATGTGTGTGCATGAATTGTGAGTGCATCTGGAGTGCAGTGGGTGTTGCTAGAAAATAAATAATCAGAAAGGAAGTTGGAAAACAGTGAAGAAGTTCTTCCAAGGAGCCATCCACTGGGGCTGACGTTCGCAGGTGCCCGGGGATCCAGGAACACCATAAGTCGGTCACAGACTCCAGTCACTGGAGTGAAAACAAGCTAGGAGCGTGTCTCCTCTTTTTCTCTCCGCTACCCTTACTTCCCACTTCCTCACTTCACACACATGTACTCTCCACTGAGGAAGGCTGGGACGAGGCTCAGGATTTGACACGGCCACCCCCTGAAAGACTTCACTTCCTAACATCCTTCCTTCTCTCCGCCCTTTGGAGTGGTATGATTGCCTTTGCAAGTCAGCTTGACTACTTGTTTTATTAAGATAATGGATGACTCAAAACAGAAGAATGAGACCAATGGTATAATTCAAGGGTAGTTATTACCATCTTCACTTACAGATGGTGAACTGCAGTTCAGTTTAAGTTACGTGACCGAGACTGCTGGAATTAGAACCTGGGTTTTCCTGCCATCTTTTCTTACACCATGTTGTCACCAAGAAGACAGTGCCCAAATCCTGACAGAGAGACGTCTGCGTATCAGTTGTGCAGCAACGGCTCTGGAATACAGGCCTCAGAGACATTGCAGGGAGGAAGGGGGTCCTGTGGGGAGCTGTCGTATTTTCCCTGACCGGGAACAGCAGTTGAACTTCAGTGGAAAAGTAACCTAACTACCTCTTCACTGAAGCAGGCTTCAGGCCCCTCCGCTTTGCAGCACTTCTCCACCACGTTAGAGAAATCTGTAGGCAGCGACTGGAGCGCCTCACCTCCAAGTTCAGGCTTCAGTTTCACTAAGTTGACAAGAAACCTGTGACCCAAAGATGTCAGACAGAATTAATTAACAATTTCTTTCTGAAGCTCCTCTCCTCCTAAATGCTTGTTACAGCGTCATATGACAGGAGGGGGTAAGGGGAACGATTCGATTTAGGTGAGTGTAAACAGCTTAAAAAGTCCGCATTTGAAAGGATCTCCTGAAACTTTTCTGTTAAACTTATGGGATGGATTCCATGGTAACATTCTTCGGAGTGGAGGGTTATATAATTAAAGGCAAAATGATATAAAAAATGTGAACACGTATTAGGTCTTCATTATGCACAGTATTGTAGAATATGGGACTACGTTTGATCTTTCTAGAAAATTTATGTCCAAAACAAGCTCCATTCCTCCTTCCTCAGTAACTGAATGTTGTTTTCACTTCACGTGATACAGACAATGCTTAAATCTGAAAAATAGGTCTTCTGCATTGGCATTTACAGCATTGCCTGAGAAAACGGAAATAAAATTCCTCTCCCTTTTGGGCCTCTCCTTTTTTAAAACACTAATTTGGATCCTCAGGGCAAACATCTATGACATTCTCCCAGGAAAGTCCAATTCATTGTGAACCTACCTATGAGCCTTCTTGCTGGTTGCCCCAACTCACCTTTCCAAATCTCGTTCTACTGCCCTCTCCGAGTCTCTAGCAAAGGGAAAGACTAGCCAGGTTTGACTTATAAACAATGGCAATAAATATGCCCCTGTGTTTTTCTAAACTGGTGGAACTGGACAATTTGATGGAAGGAAGAGTAGCACCAAATTCCATCGTAATACCAAAATCCATAACAATAAACCTCACTACTACATGGTGTGTCTTCAGGCTGAAGGAAAGGATGAAGTGGAGGGAACGTACCTATCTTTCTTTCTCTGGAGCTCCTCTTTATGAGCCTGACACCAGTCTGCGTGAAAGGTAAATAACCCTTGAGAGGTAGATGGAGGTACATATGTTTTATCAGCTTCTAAGCCCTCAAAGCAGGGCCTTCTGAAGGCAAAGTCTGTTTTACAACAGTGGTCCACAGCAGGGTTGATGCTTCGATTTTCATTTATTCCGCATAACTCTCCAATAACTAAATCCACCTGTACCAATGAAAGTTGGATTGGGGTTCTGAAATATGGTTAGATGAATAGTTAGATCTATTCTAAGATCCCTGTTCTAAGATCCCTGTTAACTTTACCCTGAAAAACCCACACACTCATAACATAACCCATGTATAAGGAAACAGGGCTGGGGGCTTAAATGGCATTATAAGAAAAGTTCAAGCCATAGCAATTTAGATGCCTATAGATTAATTTCTTGTTAACATATATACAAATATGTAATTGTGAGCAAGGAACCACAAACAGCCAAATGAAAGTGGCAGCCAAACACTGTAGCCCTTAGATTCATTCTCCTCCTGGGATGTCCCCCAGGACACTCTCCACCTCAGCCCTAAAGAGATACACGCAAGTTGTGATTGGGCTGGAAGCAGCAATTCTCTTACCGACCTGGTGGGGCAAGAGGGAGAATTTGTAACACTGCCTAAAATTATTGTTTCCTATATCATTCTGAAACAATATTGTGATTCCTAAGCCATTTGCCCTAACAAATTACTTCTAATATAAATAAGGAGTCAGAAAGATGATTGAGAAAACCCCAAGAAAATATTTAAGACATTCTCCTTTGCTTCTTAGGATTTTTACACAGTGAACCAAAAACAAAACTTGACGTTCCTTACTTAATGTTGAAAACAATCAAGAGAGGAAGATGGATAATCATTATAAATTAATAAGTACGATGTTATTTTGTGGGGGTTGGGGGACATAGTCAAGTATGTGGACCACGCTCACCAAATTATCGACGCAGGCGAACTCCTCACTCAGCGTGCAGCAGGTGGTCAACGCTGTCACCATTTCCTTGCCAAGAAAGGTCAGTTCTTCAGTGGAGAGCTGGGGTGCTATCTTTGTGAATTTGATAAGGTAGCTGAAAGAACACTTGTCTGTTTGGTTCTGAACAAAAGCAGATACCCCTCTTTCCTTGTCTAGCGACTTGAAATCTTGACCCTTCAAGGCTGAGGACAACCAGTGTAAGGGCAAGATGAACCTCAGCTCTCTCATAAAATGGTACAGAAACGTCTCTTCACTCCCTATTTTCATGCGCCTGCCTCCTAGATCTCTGTATTTTGGCTTCCTCCTAATTTCGTCTCAGAAACTCTCAGATTTGCTGTCATACTTTGCTGTCTTACCATCCTGTCTTACCTGTGAGTAAAGGGGCTCCTCAACAGCAAATATCTTGGCTAGCAAATAAAATCCTGCTTGAAACCTCTTGCATAGTTAATAAACATTTTCAAGGGAGAATTTAATAGATACATGTTAGAAAAGGATAGCCTGAGATGAAGGAAACTAAGATCTTTAATGGGCTGAGTTTGACTTCTCAGCTAAGAGTCAGATTGCAGAAATAGTGAAATCATATTTTTTGAACTGTGTTTTGTTTTGATTTGAAGATGTTTGTTTTCAACACACACTACATTAGCATGGTAGTTAATTAAGAAAATCAAGAATAAACTGTGTATTATTCATGAAAGCTCACAAGAGCACTAAAAAATAACTATGGAAGTGTTAAGCAAATCCAGAATTATTTCCACAAACTCAGTAAGATGGATTGAAACCAGGGGCAAACCACCTTTTCCTTGGGAAATTGTAACAACCTGAAGTTTGCTCCATCCTCCCCATTCCCACCCCCAAAATGGGTCAGAATCCAGAGATTCAGGGTTGGGAGGAAGAAAGGTAAGTCCAAACAAAAACGAAAGTATAAGAGAACAATTTTTCCCAAATCCTGTATTTCTTTAATTCTCATTCCTGGTAAAGGCTTAGTACGACAGCTCAATGCGCATTCTTGAATTTTGTGCTTTTATTCTTTCCCAGAGTTTATGAATTCACCATAATTGAAAGACTGAGCTAAATTTTTGACTTGTGGCACTATTTTATCCTGGTCATAAGTGTTAACCCACTTGTGCAAACAACTTACTGGTATTTCAAGTCATCCTTCCCCAAATTCTGGACATGTTCACATTCTCGTTGTACTATCTTGAGGCTTCTCTGAGTTGTCTCATTGAATTTGTATTCCTGAGAATAAAAACAATCATGTTTATGAACATTTTATCTAAAATGTAATCATACACTCCATATTGACTTGTCAAATAAAATTTATATAGTACTTTCAAACAATGATTACCAGACATTACTCACTAAATTGAATGTAGTTTTTAAATATATATGTGTAAGAATTTGAATCTTTTCAATTATAGTTATAGATTCGTTTTTTGCTAAAATTTGAAAGTCCAAACTTTTATCCTCATCTTGTACATTTTTTTAGAGTTTTCCAGGTTATGAAGTATCATGCAAATCTTATGTTGACAATGATCATATTCAATCTTCACTTTGAAGTGGCCATAACAGTTATCATCTCATTTTTACATAATGAAAACTGGCCCTCTACATAATGAAGACTTGCCTAGAATTGCCTAGATAGTATTGCTACAGAACATTTCTAATCACATTTATCTTTATTTTATACCTTCTTTTTCATTATTTAGAATTAGAACTTAAAACCTCCAATAATTGTCTTCAAATATTTGACAAACTCTCTCTCTTGTGGCATAAAATTGGACATCTACTGAGTGGCCAACAGAGAGAAAAACTACACACCACCGGATGGATGCTGTTGGACAAATCTGTCTACACACGGAAAAAGAATTTCCACCACTATGATTCACTAGCACCAAGGATCAGGAACAGACCTCCTCTTCAGAACAGGGGCAGAGTGGACTGAAACGCGTCTTCTTACTTCCTTGCTCGAATATGAATGAATGTAAACTGGCTTTTATGGCAAGCGGAAGCAATTTTTTAAATAAAGCAAAAGGAGTATATATCAAGTGAAAGAGAAACAAATCAGAAACGTCAAATAATTAATTTCTATAATACATAAGTGCATATGAATTGATATTAAAAATACACTAATTTCAACAGGAAAATGGGTAACAGACATGAACAAGTTGTTCATAGGAAATTTATAACTACAATAGCTAAAATCATATGGGAAAAGCTTAGCTTCATTAAAAAATCAAATAAATGCTTAAAACACAGCCACTCTTTTTTACATATAAATCTAGCAAAGCTAATTTCCATGTGCAGTGTTGGTGGAGGTGGGGTGAAATGAGCATTTTCAAGCACTGTTGCAGGACTATCTGCTGGTAAAACTTTCTGGAATGTAACTTAGCCATTTGTATCAAATTTTTTTTAAAAGTCTATATATTTTACCTAATAATTTCCCTTCTGATAATCTATCTTAAGAAAGTAGTCATAAATGTTAATAAAGATAGATGAAATAAGATACTCATCTCGGGGTTGCTTACAAAATTTTTTATAAACACCCTAACTAAACATCCAAAATGTCCAACACACAGTAGGAGGGTAGTTAAATTATTATAATGGGATACCATCATTTCAAATAAAGTGTATTTTGAAGTCTGTTTAATTACATAAAAAGTTTTCTATAAAAAACAGATCCAAAAATTTCTGGGACCAGCCCATTGACATAGTGCTTAAATTCACATACTCCACTTCAGTGGCCTGGGGTACACAGGTTTGGATGCCATGTGCGGACCTACACACCGCTCATCAAGCCATGCTGTGGTGTCATCTCACATACAAAAAATAGAGGAAGATTGGCACAGATGTCAGCTCAGTGACAATCTTCTTCAAGTGAAAAAGAGGCAGATTGGAGGCTGGTGCAGTGGGGTAGTGGTGAAGTTCACGTGCTGTGCTGGGGCGACCCAGGGTTCACCAGTTTGGATCCTGAGCACAGACCCATGCACTCTCATCAAGCCATGCTATGGTGGCATCCCACATAGAAGAACCAGAAGGACTTACAACTAACATAAACAACTATGTACTGGGGCTTTGGGGAGGGTAGAAAAAAAAAAGATGTAGGATTTGCAACAGATGTTAGCTCAGGGCCAATCTTCCTCACCAAGAAGCATACCTTTAAAAAAATTAAAAAGAAAAAAGAGGAAGATTGGCAACAGATGTTAGCTCAGGGACAGTCTTCCTCACCAAAAAAACAAAAAAAAGACCAAAAGTTTCTTAAGAAAGTACTATTCAAATCTTATATATATATACGTATATGCACATATATATATGCATAGATGCATAGAAAAGATGAAAGAAAATGTTAATTACAGCTATTTCTCTGTGACAGAAAGTTTTTGGTTTTTTCTTTGTAACTTTTGGTACTTTCCTAATCATCTTTAATAATAATTTATTACTTTTTCAATCATAAATAAAACAATATGGTTCAATAAAATACAGAGTACATAAAGAAAAATATAAATGTAAAATATTTAATAGAAAGAGTTTTTTGCACTGACATGCAGGATTGGTAGTTCAAAACATTATGCGTACCCAAACTGATGACTGGTCTTCCCTCTGGTCAGCTTACACTGAATTTGAAGTAGACTCAGATTGGTCAATCACATTTCAACCCCCTCAAACTTTGATATAAATTTTTAAGTGTCTCTGGTTTTGCTGTGTTTCCTTCTCTGAGTCCACAACAATGGAACCTACCGCATTGCCGTAACAGTCTGGAGGGTTCTCTGTACTGCAGCACTCTTCCAGGAGGTCCTCATACACTCTAGCGATTCTTAAAAGTTCAGGTGTAGACAGTTCTGGATGTCTTCTTGAGTATTCAAAAAGAAACCTGTGATGTATAAAATACTCTGGATATTAGAACTTAGAGAAAGAGCAAAACACCAAATCTCGCTATCTTTTAGTCTGATCAGACCTTTTAACGATGAGGCTGCTTTCAAATGCTACGTTCCTCCTCTGGTTTGGTCAAGGAGTGAGTGAAGAGGACGTTCTGACTGCAGGAGATCATTTTACAAAGATTCTCTTCCATGTTATGTTTCAAACTATCAATGCATTTACTACTAGGGAGGATAGAATTATTAGTTATTCAGAGTTAATTATTGGAATGATTTAACCCATAAAACATCAGACATAGTATATCATGCCACCAATACGTCAGAAGATGCATATGGAATGTAATTCTGCTGGAAAACACTTTCAAACTTCCAACTTGGGATGGTGGAAATATGGCTTCTCCCCACGCCCAGTGCCGCCTTGGTGAGAGATCATGGAGCAGCCTGTGCCCGTGACTTCATCCTGTCACTTCTCAACTATGGGAGAATCACTCCTGCAGCTCTAAATCACTGGCAGTGGTTTCCATGGCCTCAATGAGAGGCTCCAAGGGTCTAGGTAGGTGTGATTCAGGGAGAAAGTGGGAAAGGGAGAGAAAAGAGGCTAACATTTATTAAGCCCTTGGTAGGTGCAAGGCATTAGATCATGCTTCGGTCATAGGAGCTAAAGATCTGCTTCCTGGTCTTTACAAACACTTTCTCATTGACTTTCACTTAGTCCTCAAGGTAAGTACTATTTTATAGCTGAGGAAACAAAGTCTCAGACCAGTTAAGCACCTTGCTGTTAATGGAAGTATAAAATTTGAACCTAGGTCCCATGGGATATCTACTTAATTCTTTTTTAAACTAAGCTGACTCTCTTCTCAAAGGAGGGATGTCTTGGGGCTGGCCCAGTGGCACAGCGGTTGAGTTCGTACGTTCCGCTTCGGCAGCTGGGGGTTCACCAGTTCAGATCCCGCATATGGGCCTACACACCCCTTGGCAAGCCATGCTGTGGCAGGCGTCCCATATGTAAAGTAGAGGAAGATGGGCACAGATGTTAGCTCAGGGCCGGTCTTCCTCAGTAAAAAAAGAGGAGGATTGGCAGCAGATGTTAGCTCAGGGCTAAACTTCCTCAAAAAAGGCTAATCTTCCTCAAAAAAAAACAAAAAAAAAAGAGGTGTGTCTTCTCTAAGTACCTCAGCTGTGCTATTTACAGTCTTCTTCATAAAAGACCACTGTCTAGTCATTCAAAACAAGTTAAAAAGGTCCCCCATGTTTTGTGAGGGCAATACCTCACAATGGCCTATCAAGTCTAGGAAACACTTTTCATCCCTTTTTATTTTGCAGCCTTTAATTCTCCCGATTAATCTTGGTTTTTCTGACATCATGTCTCTTGCTTCCCCATCTGCCCCCTCTGTCCCATTTGTGGGATATATCCCCATAGCCTAAAGCAGAGGTGTTTAACCTTCAGAGAATCAGGGGCTCCTTGTATCTGATGTAAGCCATGGACTTTTCTTTAAGAATAAAATTACACCTAGAAACGCCCCACCAAAATGTTGCAAACAAAAACCCCTGGAAGCCTACCCTAGCCAGGCAGATCCACTGAGATCTTGCGTCAAACGCTTACGTCCAGAAAGACTGCACTTTAACACTCTATTGCTGGCTCAGCACGCTCACTGTTGGTCTATCATTTCTCCCCGCTTCGAACACTATGTTGTAATACTGACGATGATGATGATGGTAATGATAAAAATTCCTTCCATTTAGCGAACACGAGTCAGGAACAAGTGAAATGCATACATCTATCATTTTGTTTCGTTTATTTGACTTAATATCCGTGACTCATGAGAAGTAATAAAGCTCAGTGGTTACAGGAGCAGGAATCTGGAGCCAGACTGCTTGCGTTTGAATCCTGGCTCCGTCACATATTAGCTGTGTGACTTTGGAGCAAGTTAATTAACCTCTGTGCCTCAGTTTCCTTGCCTGTAAAATGAGGATAATAAAAGCATTCTAACCTCAGAGGGTTGTTTTGAAAATTAAATTGGTTAGTAGATGAGAAGCACTTAAAATTTGGTAAGTATTCTTTAACCTATATCTTTGTTCCAGACCTCCTTCCAGAGCTCCAGGATCACAAATAAATTTGTCTAGTGACATTTCCAACTAGTTACTCTACAGAAATCTCAAAGTCAATGTGCTCAGATCCAAACAGATTCTCTTTCCCACAAAACCTTCACCCATACTTCCCATCTCATTGAATCTGAAAACTACTTACCCAACCACCTAAGCCCCAAACTGGTATTCATTCCAGATGAAGTTTCTAAAAGACAAAAGTGATTTTGTCCTTCCTTATTCTTCGGTGAAAATCCTTCAATAGCATCTTGTTACTTTGCTTGCCTTCATAATCTGACCCCATCTGCCTGACACTACCCTCGCCTCTCACTGCAAACACCCTACTCACAGCCACAAATACATCAAATAGTTTTATACTTCTATCTCTGCTCTACCCCTTCTGTCCAGATTACCAAAATTTCTTCAAGTACCTCCTCCCTACCAAGCCTGTCCCGGGTCCCCAGTTCAACTGACCACTTCATCCTCTGTCTCCACATTACCTATCACATTGGGCTATCAGAAATAAAAGAACATTTATTGCTCTCATTTATTTATAAGTCTATCTCTTCCCACATCACACTCCCTATTGATGAAAGCTTACTGGAGACAAAAATCCTGCCTAACCTAGTAAAGTCCTTGGATTATATTTCATTACCGATAAACTTTGAATGAATGAATATTGTTATATGAATTTTGTGTATGACAACCTAAAACACAGAGAGGTTAACTTGTCCCAGCGACTCAACAAAAACTCAAATCTAGTCCCTTTGGCTCCAAGACTGCTACCTTTCCCCTGAATAGCTGCAGGGTGGCATAGCATGGCAGTTAATCCTCAGCTTCTTCGGCCAGAAACCCTGGGGTCAAATCCTTACTCTGACACTTTTAGCTGTGAACTTTGAACAAGTTGCTTAACTTCTCTGTACCTCAATTTTCTTATCTGAAACGTTGGGGGAAATCATGCTTATTTTACATGACTGTTACGAGAATTAAAATAGATAATCCATACAAAGTACTTAGCCTGTTGTCGGCACATATCAAGTACTCAATAAATGTTAGCCATCACTATAGCAGTTGCATTTTCTTAAAATCATGTGAAAATGCTATAATCTATAACCATGATTTTTTTTGATTATGTGACACCCAATGATTTAAAAGGTTCCCATTCCTTCCACTCAAATTAGCCAAAATAGGTTAAATCATAAGTTTCTATTTGCCTTATAAATTTCAATATAGAGTTATGTTACTCAGCCATGAAGATGTCTGGGTTAGCATCTCGTTGTTCACACACATTTTCATTTTCAGTAAATTTTGCTTCTCTTAGAGATAAGTCCTTTGGTCTATCATCTTTATTGGAGTAAATTATGCACTCTCCGCGCTTTGGTATTTTCTCTTCACAGCAGTCTTTGATTTTGCTGGAGATGGAATCTTGTTTCGAACAAATATGGCTCATAATCTTGCTCTGTACCAAATAAGAATGAGAAATGACTTTATTTTTATAATTTCTTCAGGGCTGGATCTTTCTTCATAATAGAATGATTGCATGCAAAACCAACCATAAACATAACATCTGGAATTGCTTCATCAGCTAATTTGAGAGATAATATTTATTTAAGTTTGGTATTAATTTAATACATATGAAGTTTCATATTAATGGAAGCTTTATTTCTCAGAATTTTAGATGATGTATTATGAAAAATAGACTATTATAAATCCACATTCATTGCTACATATTAATCTTTTAAATACTATACCCTTACTCCTCTGATATATTGGCATTTAAATTTTAAATATTGTTTCTTTCACCTGTGCTCCAGTGAGGGCCACCAAAGATGTTATTGTAATACAGTCATGTGTCGCTTAACGACAGGGATGTGTTCTGAGAAATGCGTCGTTAGGTGATTTTTTCATTGCACAAACGTCATAGAGCCTACTTACACAAACCTAGATGGCATAGCCTATTACGCACCTAGGCTACTAATCTTATGGGACCATCGTCATAGAGGCAATCTGTTGTTGACCGAAAAGTCGTTATGCAGAGGATGACCATGTCTATAATCCTAGATTTCTTTTCTTGTGGTCTGAAACTACATTGCCAAGCACGCTGTCGAAACTCAATAAGTATTTGATAAGTGAAGGAAAGAACAGTAAACAAATGAACCACTATAGCAACTACCAGATAAAGACTTCTTAAGCATAAGAAGCTGTTCCACTCGTTGTCATTTTCCTACAGAAAGTATTAATTTGAAGCGGTTCAAATTATCAACAGTACAAAATACAAAAGTTACTCTATCTCCTCTTCCTGCTCTTCCTCCCAATTGTGACCTCCACATAAAGTTATGGGAATAAAGGAGAGTGTGAATTATCTTATTTACACATTAGTTGGATGATTTTTCAAAAACTGATCTGGCCTCTAGTCCCTTCTCCAGACTCTCCAGAATGAGGCTGCACATTTTTCCTTCTCTCTGTTCCAGCTTCACCTGAACCACGCTGAGTTCCATCAAAACACCTGGCCTCTCTGACTTTGCTCAAGGGGTTCTCCTGTCTGAATCTCCTGCTGGTGAACACTGAAGGTGAGGAATGGGATGAAGAGCTGGGCTAGGGTGAGAAGCCGAGTGGGGGTTGGCACCATGTTTCCAAAAAACCACATAGGACCAGCGAGCCAACCTTTGCAAACGCATACACGTCTCACCTAAGGCCATCATTGTACCAGGCAACACATCTCTTATTGCCTGGGAGTTCAGTTCTATTTTGAATGAATAACAATTCAATTCCTCTTATTTCTCTGTGAAGGCATTAAAGAAGGGCATTAACGATATGATATGATCCCGTGGTCTCAGCTGCAAACTTCATAGAAAAATTTTCAATTATGTCCTAATTTAGTATATTATATTTAATATTATAAAAACCACATCCCCATAAACAATCAAATAATACAAAAATAAATAGCAAGTGAGATTGTTTTTAATTGCAGTTAATTCTAAATTCTAAATTTAGATTTCTAAATTCTAAAACTCAAGTTATTTAATTAACATACTATCTCAGTATGAATTTAAAACAATAAAATAATAAAAAGTCACTAAGAAAAAGCCTAATTTCAACTAAGTAGTCAGGATATTTTTAATGAAATTGTTACCTTTGTGTGCCTGAACAACTTAAACTAAGTCAACAATATACGTATTAGTATAGCCTTAGAGAATCACGTTGAAGAACAGAGTTATTTTAAATTAGCATGTCACTTATTTGGAAAGACTGCTCCTAAACAGCCTGAGGACACTCAGAGAAAGCAGCTCTTAAAAACATGATGGTAACAGGGGCTGGCCCCGTGGCGGAGTGGTTAAGTTCGCGCGCTCCGCCGCAGGCAGCCCAGTGTTTCGTTGGTTCGAATCCTGGGCACGGACATGGCACTGCTCATCAGACCACGCTGAGGCAGCATCCCACATGCCACAACTAGAAGAACCCACAACGAAGAATATACAACTATGAACCCGGGGGGCTTTGGGGAGAAAAAGGAAATAATAAAATCTTTAAAAAAAAAAAAAAAAAAACATGATGGTAACAAATCCTCCTCTGAGTTGTACTATTAATTTCTAATATCTCTACAAGAAGATTTGCAACATTAAAGAAAACTTCAGTCTAGCCTGAATGAATGTTCACAAATTCTAAATCCATGAAATTTTATGTCAAGGGCAGTTAGCCACGTAAAATACAATCTGCTGAGTAATCTAAAAACAATCTTATGTATAAAACTGCCCCAATGTGTTATTTGGGCTTATTTGTTAACATTTTATTTATGTTATTATTTAACCATTTATTAACATTCTGATTTCATTGCAGTAAAAGTAGCCACATGTTAGGGCAACTTCAGAATAAAAAACAGCTGTCACAAATCACTATTCTTACTTGGTTTGAGAGAATATTTACCCTGCGGCGGATGCACTTCACAGCATCCCCTTCACAGCATCCTTCATACTTGGAAGAAACATCTTCTAGGAGGGAGGTAAGTTCCTTAAATTCAATCTTGGGAAATTTTTGACTAAGTATAGCAATGTTTCTGGAAAGAGATTGATAAACCACTAAAACAACTTGAACAGCAAGTAAGACAAGAAGGAGTTCTTCGCTGATACAGTCCAAAATAGCTGCAGTAAGCATTGGTACCCTTGCTTTTACATGCATGTCTTTACCAAACAGCTGTTTATACATTGCGCAGCCTGTGTGATCACTTTGAAAATCCTAGGCTGGTATTTTGAGTCCTGGATCAGGACTAGAAAAAAAAGGCCTGAGAGATATGCTCTCTTTCATAATTTTTATAGCAGAACACATCTTGTAAGGACCACTGTTTCCTGTTGTGAGCCCATGGCAGGCATGGATAATTCATTCCAGAACCCTTTCTTGCTAATCTATTTGAAATCTCAGAATTTTTCTCACGATATTGCACCTACATCATTACTAATCGGTTAGGGTGAACACTTGAGATAAAATTTATCATTATAAGATTGTCTCCTAGTTATTAAGGTCAAAGATGGATGGATAAGTCAGGTCTAAAGCACTTAGAGTTTTTAAAATCCTGGTTGGGAACTCCCAGGCCAATTCAGATTCCCAACTAACCAAACAATATCTCAGAAATAGCTCTCTTTCTCTCTGGGGTCTCCCCTTTCTCTCTGGGGTCTCCCCACATCCCAGGCCTTCTCTCATCCTGACCTAATGTCCTGGTTCTGAGCTATCCACAGAGACTGAGTGCCACCTCAAAACCCATAGGGAACTAGGAAGAGTACAAATAAAGAGAAATCAACAACATAAGAAAGTGGAACACAGACAAGAAAATATTAGTAGAGACAAGATACATCTTATAAAACTCACATAGATTTTAAGACTTGTGGTCCAAATTTCACAAGTGCCCCACAGACATTTTTTTGATAAGAAGATAATGCTTTTAAGTATTGTATGACAGGTTCTGCCTGAAGGAGAGAGAGAAAATTCTGTTGAAGCAAGAGCAAAATCCCACTATTCTCCTACTTCTTAACTCCCTATCAACCAAACTATTCCAAGCTTTGCTCAGAAACAGAAAATCTATGGGATTTTTATCTTAGTAAATTTACATATCAAAAGAAACATGCATTTGTGGCATATTATAAAGGTGGGGCTAGTCTTCCTGAAGACTGAATTGCACTTGGTGGAAAGATGAGTGGTGTGGTGTGCTGTGAGCTTGTCCATCTCTACTGAGATGATTAAATTTTATGGGGAGCCGAAAGAGGGCTTGTTCAGGATCGAGGATAAAATGTCATCTTTCGTTCACTCACTAGGGCTTTCTTCCAATTTACAAGGAAGAAAAGGCCAGAAGAGAGACCCAGGAGATGGGCAATTGTCTTTCAAGGGTCTCAGGTAATAAGAAATTTAGATTAGCAGCAGGTGGCTAATGGATTGGAAAACCAGTGACAGTGGCAAGAGAATGATTGATAAATGGTAAACAACTCTTTCACTATAATTTGATTCTCAGTAAGGAGCTGCAGTTTTGGGTGACTCCTAATTCTTTTAATGAAATAAGTGTAATACCCACCTTTGTTCGAAAGCAGTTAGCTTTGTCTTGTTCTTCACAACACGTTTTAGCCATCTCTTCAAAACGAGTAGCTACAGTTAGAAGCGTAGGGGCGAAAACAAACGGGTTCCTTCTGGAAACTTCATAAATACAACTATAAAAGAAAAAAAGAAGGAGGGAAAGGGAAAAAACAGGAAAGAAATGAAGGAATGGTAGGCAAGGGAAGGGAAGAAAAGACAGGAAAAGACAAGATCAAGTAGTGAAAAGGAAGGTAAGAGGAAGAAGGATTTTTCGTTATAGAAGGATTTCCCATTATAGAAGCCTTCAATGTAAGGCAGCATTATCCAGGCTCCAACAACCGTCCTACCATTGAGATTATCAACTCCAAAATAAGAGAGAAGATTACAGTCCTACTCCTGAACACTAAGCTACAGCTGTTCTCTTTCCTTCCCCATGCTCCCAGACAGACAGTCAGCAGCTCTCCCTTCCACCTTCAAGGAACAGCTGCCTTTATACACTCCTTCTGAGACTCAGGGATCATACGCACTTATGTTCAAATTAACTTGTAGTTTAGGTTTTGATAAGCACATCAGCTTTCCATAAAAATTCTCTGCTTCTGCAATTACTGCACTCTTTAAAACAGAGCTCTGCTAAACATTCCTTGATTTCATGTTTGTTCTGGGTAAAAGCTGTGCCTTCCCTCTGGGAAGACTATATTGTTTCTTCCAGCAGCAATTTGGCACCATGAACATACATCTGTTCTAGGGCTGATCACATTAGAAAATACACATCATTAATGAAAGAATCTTGGAAGCAGGTTTCGTAACTTGTTCATGTTTGTATCCTCAACACTGAATACAGAATCTGACCCACAATATGAGTTGAAAGAAATAATCAATCAATGAACCCAGTTATGTTCTTTTGGAATAGATATTGGATTGAGCCTGAGAACAATTCCTCAACTAGATCATTTTTTCTACTAAAAGTAAACTTACTTATTTAGAAAAGATTCTCTGTTATTTTTATAAGTCTGGCATTTCTCTTCAAGATCCAGAGTAGGGAGAGGAGGCAGAAATCCTACATCAGATTTCTTATTATGGAAGAAACAGCGTTCTCTTTCCAAGTCAACCATACTGCAGCAGTGTGAGAAATTATACTTTTGTGGCAGCCCCTTCACAGCACATGTCTTTTCCAGTAAAATATCATTCTGGACAACAGAAAAGTAAAAGACACTTTTATTCATTGTAAAACTTCTCAACCTTCTGAGATAACACAATGGATACAAGGAGTGGTGAGCATCACCCTTTGGGAAATATTCCAATTTTCCCAATATTACCAGCAAAGCGTCTTTACCCGAAACCTTGAAAACCTTTGGGGACCCTTCTCTATCCTATCCTGAGGCCCTTTAACCTCTTAGTCTTTCTTTGCTGCCTACTTTTCCCTTACATAATGACTTTTTTCCTCCCTCCCAAGGTGACAGGGTCAGAGTGAGAATGCGTTGGTAAAGCATTTAGTCATAGTGCTTAGTAATAGTTTTCTAGAGATGCAGATGGTGACTCTCTCTGGGGTAGGCCGAGAAAAGGGGTGTGGCAGTAGAGTACATATTGAGAGACAGCTAAGGAGAATAACTCTGTACCTCTATGTGCTTTGCCAGGCTATTGGCTGCCACCCTGCCTGTATACACACATGAACGGAAAGCTCTAGCCAAGTACTCCTGTGCATCATAATACAGAATTGCGTCTCTCCTAGGAAAGTAGCTTGTCTGAAATACTGAAGTCAGACAAAATAAAAATGAGGGGCCTAGAGCGTCTCTTTTTTAATATTTTCAAGCCCCAAATTTTCTGTGTTGACAAATGAGTTCGTTTGTTTAAGAAATGCAAACAATTTACTTACAGTTAATCTCGGACAGTCGGGGAGTGTCACTTCACCTGAGCATTGACCTTTGTATTTCGTCATGATTTTTACCAATCTGTCTACTTCTTCAAAAGATGCCTCCTGAACATACTGAGAAAATGCAATGACGGTGCTGCAACAGTCCACAGGGCACACAGTGAGCACCTGCAGAATCCCCACGTACGGCCAATGAAAACTCGTAGGAACATCCACTTGCTGAACAGTCTCAGGAAATTATCAAAGTGTGAAAGCTATAAACTTTACAATTTCTTGACAATTCAATTTCTCCGTCTGAATTTTATGATTAATATGGTATTCACTTTTTTTGATAAGCTTTCTACCTAATTAAATTACTTTTGAGAAGCATTAACTTTCCCAGAATAGATCAGATGAGATTATGACAAACACCATCATCATCAAAAAGAGTTTAGAGAAACTTACATATATCCAATATTCTCCTCTATAAATTTCTGGGTGATACTGGCATCATCTGAAAAGCAAAGATATTTAGGTTATTATATATCCTGACATGTTAATACTTCCCCAATAAATAACTATGCATGATATCTAAATTTACAAAGTATGAAATATAAAGCTGATGGTAGAAAATAATTTGGCGTATTTGACAAGAAGAAGAGAAGTCATATGAACCAAATATGAGACCTTAATCATAGCTGATGATGTGCTTAAGAAGTGACCAGACTTTAGATTTGCCATTGATGGCTCCTTAGCCACAGATGTCAAATACATTCACCATTTCCATATCCATCATGTATAACTAGAAAGTAATATGAAGAGTAACTGATATGTGATGTAATGCCATGACAGGACCCAATGAGAGATGCCATAGCATGCTGGTGGTCAGTACAGTCTCTAGTGTTAGCCAGACACAGATATTTAGGTGATCTCTAGACTAGTCTAAAATCATTGATTCCCTCCCAGTGAGCGTATACTAAATCAGAGCACATTTACACTTGTCCACATAGACTAGTTTTATGGAGTCCTTACTTTTGCAAAGCATTGTGCTGGACACTGTGAAGCCATCAATGATGACTAAAACAGCTCCCCTGGATCTCAGGTTCCTAAGTACTCCCATAGTGCAAATGACTCATGAACATAACTATAATCCAAATTAGAATGTGTATGACATTCTAAAGTAATGTGGGTAAGTATATGACAAGAATGTTTTTCGATACCGGATGAAGAACCAGAAAAGGATTATAGTAGGAGTTGCGTATGAGTTGAGTCTGAAAAAATGTACAAGATTTCAGCTAACAGAGAAATAAGGAGGCTCATCTTTTTGTGTGAAGAGAATGATGTGAGTAAAAGCACAATGGTGAGAAATCTTGGGGTGTTTTGGGGGAAAATCAATTAATCCACTTTGATAAGAAAGTGGGTCATAAAGAAGAATAATGGAACCCAGGATACAAAGGACCTGGGTCCAGAATGTGGGAGACTTAAGGAATTTGGGCTTCAACTGGAAGGCATGAAGAGCCACTGAAAATGTTTATATGGAATAGTAATATAACCATTTCTTTATGCTAAGAAATACCAGCCAGGTAGTGGTATATCTAATATGCTGGGATCTCCCACAGTGCCTGACAAATAGAAAGTGACAAGAACTATTTGTCAAATAGATGGATGGAAGAATGAATGGAGGGATGTAAAAAAGCAAGAAGCCCATTAGGGGACTTTTGAAATTGTCCTATTGAGAAGTCAGCAGGACATGAATTTTAGTAGTATAATGGAAATGCAAAGGAAAACACAGATGCAAAAGATGTTAGAGATAAAAATCAACAAGATTTTTGAACAAGTTGTTACAGGGTGCAAAGGAGGAGAACTCAAGAATGGCTGGTCTTTTCAAATCCTGTGACTAGTCCCACTAGCAGGTGCTGCGAGGGGGTACTAAATTGAGTAAGACCATCCTCATCTTCAGGGCCATTCGGAACACTTATGGTACCTTTGTACAAGTTTAAAAAGGTGCTTTTTCCAGGCCAAGAGATTACAAAAAGATATCTCCTCTGAACAGATGAAGTTCAAAATGTTTCCCCTTTCGGTAGAAGAGACTTAAAACTTGCCGTTTCCTCCAGGCTGACATCATCTTGGCCAGGCTTGGGGAAATGTACAGACTGGGGGAGACTTACAAACTGGACAGCTGGAGGAAGCAGGGTCTTGTATACCCTAAAAATGTTTACTTCTTAGTTGGGACATACATTGGACAACCAAAGGTTCCAGAAAAATCCCAACCCATATCTAATGGTCCACTGTTACCACACACTATACACATTTGCAAGAAATACGAATATTTTCAAATCCAAATTATATCTCCCAGCAGAACTTTCTATACTGCCATAAGGCTGGTGACAATTTTCTGGGTGTGACAATTGTCTCTGTCTATAGACTGGGTAATATGACCAACAAAATACAAAATCTGGGAAGGTTAGTTCAGGATGTCTGATCAGTACATATAAACTAGCAGGAGGGAGAAAAGAAAACAAGTGAAAAATTAAATTGAAAGAAAACAACATTAAAAAAATAGAAATTATCCCAACTTAGTCACTCCTTAGCTGATATACAAGTAAATTTCTTACCTACATCTTGAAGCTTTGTGGGCAGGGTTAGAGATTCAGTCAAAAAGAACAAGAAAATAACAAAACCTGTAAGTGTTAACTGTTTCATTATTTTAGAAATCACATTCACAAAAGAAAGTAATGTGACAAAGGAAAATCAAGTTTTTATATTATTCTTTGACAGTATTAGTAAAAAAGTAACCTGCTTAATCTATTTCTCATATACCTCATATTTGATTTTTATTTGATCACACTGCAGAATTTTTTGCTAATTATTAACTAGGAAAAAATTATCTCTGTGTTTCACTGGAAAAATCTATTGAGTTAGAAAAAAAGTCCACAGGTTAAGTATGCACAATACCTAACCAAATAGACGGCCAAAAAAATCTTGAAGTATTGCAGATGCTAGAGGAAAAAGGACTAGAATAAACAATTCACCAAAGAGGAAACGCAACTAGAAAGATGCTAAATTTTGCTGGTAATGAAAGGAAGTTAAATTACAAAGTAATAATTTTTATATACCTGATAGAATTAGGAAAAAAAACAATTAAGATATCTAATTCTGGTAAAAATATAGCAAAAAAGCCTCCATATAATCAAAGCTTTAGAAAAACAACTTTATAATCAGAATCAATAGTCTTAAAGATATTTATGTTATTTGAACTTATCACTCAAATTCTGGGAATCTATACTAAGAGCATGACCCTAAATATTTGAAGTACATCATAAAGAAAGAAACCTATCTTTTAGTTATGTCCACTAAAAGGGCCTGAAAGCAATAGTAACCAAGTAGCAAGAAGCACATTTAGTGCCCACATCTTGGGTTCTAAACATTCCTCTGTACTACAAGGATCCTGGACTTCTTAAAGAAATGAATGATTCTAGGGCTGGAACATGAAAAGTATAAGATGAGCTGAGAACATCAACCCAGAAGCTAAAGAAGTGCCCCAAAGCTGAGGGACGCATATCAAAAGGAGATAGAAGACAGTGGGACAATTCGACAATTAAAATAACAACAGGAAGGAATCACAACCCATTAAATTTTTGAAAAAGAATTCACAAATTTATATCAATACAAAATTAAAATAAAATTGGGGGAAGGAAAAGCTATTCTCTACAGAAGAATGCCAACTAACAAACATAGAAATAAAGCATAACAGTTTGTAACTACCCTAGTAATAACTGATTTAGGCCAGTTTCATGAATGGATGCTAAAGTCACTGGTGAGAAATTATCCGTCAATAGCATACTTACAGTTTCAAAGCATCGCTCCATGGATCACTTATTAATTACAAAAGGAAAGAGACATCTTTACAGATGGATAAGTAAATAGTGGTATGGTCACTTTATGGATTAGTATTTGTCTTTAAAGTTAATAAATATAAAGAATATGTAGTAACAGGGGGAAATATTTACTATATAACATTTAGAGAAAGAGCAGAATCTAAAATTTTATATGTTATGTGTACAAAATGGTAGAGTGAACAGATCTATTAGGCCAAAAGAAAGGGAGAGAGAGAAGAGGAGGGTGAGAGAGTGAGAGAGTGAGAGAGAGAGAGAAAGTGGGGAAGGAGAGCGATGGTGGAGGTAGGGGGAGAGTAGAGACAGAGATTGATTTTGTCCTCAGACAGAGAATTATGCAACTGGTATGGTCAGCATCTTTGGTTGCAGCCAGTGAATGTTACTGACTGTGCTGACCTCTAATTGGCCTTTTGTCAAGGGATACAGGCTGTTTCTAGGTATATTCAATTATTAGTCAGAGATCAATATGCTTTTTACTTTCTTTTCAGATATGTTATTTATTAATTCTGATTACTGGTTCACGCCAGGCAATTATGAGAAGATGGCTCCAATGCATCCATTTCACAAATCTAACCTTCCCCATTTCTGATAAGAATGTGATTTTTATAACCACCTGAACTAAAATAGCAGTCTGGGCCTAGTGAAAATCTTAATGTATTTAAACTGGTTTTCTTCCTGGTCATTTTGACTTTGCCGGGAATTATTTAGCTGCTAACTCCCTCATTAATGGGTAATAAATTTTGAAACTTACTCAGATAAATATGCCTAAGAAATTTTGCTTCAACAGTATAGACACATACACACAGATGCTGAAAAAAGAGAAAGACGGCAGTATTTTCAAAAGCTTCAGAAAATCCTGGACGTTGCAACACAGGATGAAAATGATGGGGAAAATAGATAAAAGGAAACTTCTGCTCAAAACATGGAGGATGAAATCAGTTTCTCCCAAGAGCATTCCAGAGAAGCTCTGAGTCTAAAGGCTGTAAAGAGCAGATACAGACCAGAGGGAGCTAACCGGGAGAATAAGCTAAAAAGCTATTCTCAACAGCTAAATTAGAAGACGGCACTACCTCCTCCTTGCTTTCTCTACCACGACACACGCACACACACATACACACACACACACACAGAAAGCATACTTAGGTGACAGTGGTTGGTGTCTTTTACCTCTAGGTTAAAATCCCAAAATGACTTTTCCTTAGTTTGGGTTCCCCAAAAGCAAATCTCCAGACAAAGATTTGTGACTTATTTGGAAGGAGATTTGAGAAGGCAGAAGTGAGGAAGTGAGACCAAGAAGGGAGAAAAGCTAATAAAGCAGCTGTTAATGAGGAGAGTAACAGTGTAGACAACTGGGTGTAATCCTCCTGGGGACTCTCTGAGAAGCAGGAGACTTCCTAGAATTGTCCCGCCAGAGGGCTAGGAAGCTGGGGCGTTTATCCACTCACTGAGGTACACACGAGTAAGAGGAATAATCGTAAAAACCCTAAGGAGAAAAAAAACCTCCTGGAGTGAGGGTTATGCAAAGCAGAACTACCAGATAATAAAACACATTCTAAAACATCATAATAATTAAAACAGTGTGGTATTGACAATCGCGAGAGAGACAGATACAACAAACGAAAAGTCTCCAATTATATTCAAACGCCTACCCATACACTAGGATAATTCCAAACAGATCAGAGACCCAAATGTAAAAAAGAAAAAAAGCCCATAAGTACTAGAAGAAATGCAAATGAAGTGGGGAAAAGCTTCCTAACTATATTGCAAAATCCAGAAGCAGTAATAAATTCAACTACGTAAAAATTCTTTAAAAGATTTTATATGGAAAAATGTTACAGGCAAAGTAAAAAACACAAAGGAAAAACTGAGAAAAGACACCTGCAATCTATATCATAATACACCAAGATCTCCAGGAAATTTGAGGGGGAAAAATAGTCAAATGATATAAGCAGACAGTACATAAAAAAGAAAAAACTACTGGGCCTTCAACATAAGAAAAGATGCTCATAGTAAGAGAAATGTACATCCAAGCAACACCCCGGCACCATTTCTGACCTACCTGATTGGCAAAAATCTAAAAGTTGAACAATACACTTTGAGGGTAAAACTCCAGGGAAATCGGTTCTCTCATCAACTGCTAGCGGGAAGGCAAATGATGGTGCAATATCTCTGGAGGAGAATCTGGCAGGATCTAAAAAAATGCGTCTGTCCTTTGAGACAAAAACTTTCTAGTAGGTGCCTGTCCTATAAAAACAACGCCAATATTGCTAAATGACTGAAGCACCTGCTTATTCATTGTGGCATTATTTGCAATAGCAAAAGATTGGAAATAGACCAACAGGGAGTCAGTTAATAACCTATAGTATATTCACACAAAAGAATTCTATAAAGCTGTTTAAAAAATTGAGAGAAGAAACTTACGCATAATATGGGGTAATCTCCAAGATTACTTTTTTTTAAAGATTGGCCCTGAGCTAACATCTGTTGCCAGTCTTTGTTGGTTTTTTTGTTTGTTTGTTTTGGTTATTTTTTCTTCTTCTTCCCAAAGCCCCCCAGTGCATAGTTGTGTATTCTAGTTGTAGATCCTTCTGGTTGTGCTATGTGCAACGCTGCCTCAGCATGGCCTCATGAGCAGTGCTAGGTCCACGCCGAGGATCCGAACCGACAAACGCCCAGGCCGTCGAAGCAGAGAGCACGAACTTAACCACTTGGCCACAGGGCAGACCCCTGCAAGATGACATGTTTAAGTAAAAAAAGCAGAGTATAGAACAATATATGTAATATGTAACCTCTTGCGTAATAAAGCTAGAAGAGTGTAATAGGAACATATTTATATACATATTTGCTTCGTTTTTAAAAATAAACAACAGAATGCGTGAACCAAGAGCTGATAAAAGCTATTAATAAGAGGAAGGGAGGACAGAGTAGAAGGGATAGTATCTTAGTCAGTTTGGGTTGCTATAACAAAATACTGTAAATTAGGTGGCTTATAGATAACAGGAATTTATTTCTCTCAGCTCTGGAGGCTGGAAGTCTGAGGGTGGGGGACTAGCATGGTTGGGTTCCGGTGAGAGCCCTTTTCTAGATTGCAGATTGCCAACTTCTAGTTGGATTCTCAAATGGCAGAAAGAGGGCATATGAGCTCTCTGTGGTCTCTTATATAAAGACATAAATCCCATTTATGAGGCTCCACCCTCATGACCCAATTACCTCCCAAAGGCTCCATTTCTTCATATGATCACATTGTGGGTTAGGATTTAAAATTTAAATTTGGGGGGAGCACAAACATTCAGTCCTTAACAGATAGGAACAGAAATGAGATTTCTCTGAATATACTTTGTTATATAGTTTTGGCTTTGAAACTATACAAATATTTTACAAATATAAAAAATGAAGTAAATCTAAAAGATGAAAAAAAGCAATTTGAAAACAAACAGAAACAAATGAATGTATCTAGCTGCACACTGAGTTTATGACATAAGCACAGAGAGAAAAACTATTTTAAATGACTTTAGAGTGCATTATTTTGATGTTTATCCTTAGTTGAATATGCTGTCAAGGAAAATAGAGCTGCAAATAAATCTTAAATTTCCATCCACAATCAAAAGAGCCTTTGTGGATGTTGTGGGACCCAGCACCATATGCCAACGGACCCAGAAAGAGTCTTACCCATCTGTACATCCAGCAATAGACAGACAGACCTCAGTCTGGGCTGCTGAACCAGGGAGCCAACAAACCAAACAAGGAAGTGGAAGATCTGTACACTGAAAACTATAAGACTTTGATGAAAGAAATTGAAGAAGACACAAACAAATGGAAAGAT